TTCAATTCCTTAGTATTTTTGAGATTATATTCCAAATCATGGGACTATTACATGTTACCTATGAAGTCCTTGAGTTTAGTAGTTCATGCTCATAATTCCACGTGAACCCTGTAAGTTGAACAATCTTAATATAAGAAGTGTCTATGAGTCCTTGAATGAGTAGTTCATGCTCCTAATCCCGCATGAACTCTCCATGTTGAACATTTTAAAATCATCAATAAACATGTGATTCCAAACCTTGAATCCATAATCCAATCAAGGAAAGTTAAGATCAAAGTCAAGAGAAGTTAGAGTTAAGTCTTGAAGTTCAGAATCCAATCAAAGTAAAGTTTGTTAAAGTTTTCAAGAATCTTTAACGCAGGTTTTATTTTTGTTTTAAGACTAAAAGTTCCAAGTTAAGCTAATAATAAAGAGTTGATTTCACTTCTCAAAAATCTATAGGGAACTATGTATTCCCACAAAATTTATAAATGTTTTTCACATTTTAGCTAAGAGGAAACTAATATTTACAAAGAGTTTCAAGCAAGAAAAGGGAATATCGATTCCAAGGAAGATTTTAAAGCTAAGTGTTGAGAAATTATCTCAACATAAAGAAAGAAGTTGTTTTAAAACCACATAAACCTAAGTATATTTTTGGGAGTAGTATTGAGAACCGATATGAGGATGAGAAATCATGATAACTTGAGTCTCCATAAACCATTTTTTCATCATGGGTATTAATGGGTTATATCTTTTGGATGTTCACATAAGTTAAGCTGGTGGATCCACTATAAGTTAAGTTAGCTTCCTATACTAATAGCAAGGTATATGTTGGTCCTCAGCAGCGCGAGGTAAATTTTTGTATTATCACTATAGCTCTTAAGTGATAGTTGTCAGTTAGAGTAAATCCCACAGCACTATTTACATAGTTCCTCAAGGGGTTTTACTTCGTATGAATGGGGGTATGCGACTTAATTCATACATTGAACAAGTAGACTTTTAGAGGGACCATGTTTTTTCTTTTATGATATTATGATTATGAGTTGACATCATGTTTTTAAACAATTTTTTATTTATATTTCACTTGTTTTAAATTTCTTTATATCGAAAAGAGTTTAGTTAAGTATCAAGAGTCGAGTATTTTGAAGTGAGTACCTTAACTTGAGTATGTTGAAGTTGATATGTGCTTCATTGAGTCAAGTATAGTATCTTTGAAGTTGAGTATTGAATCTTTGAGTTGAGTATCTAATCTTTGAGTTGAGTACCTTATTCTTGATTTGAGTTGAGTTAAAAAGATGTAAGTATGTTTCCTTTTTATCAAGTTCAAGCGTGTGCTTTATGCTTTAGAATTACCCTTAGATGCTCGTACATTCCACCTACTGAGCGCTTTGTCCTCATCTTTTGATGATGCTGGCACATGTATTCAGGATCATCAACAAGGACTTCATAGATACATGCAAGAGTTGGAGTTAGCTATGTGTGCCTCCTTGCTTCTTGAGGAATTCATTTACATTTCTTTTTTTATCAGGAGGTCGTGGGTCTTGCCCATATTTCAATCATTATTACTTCGAGGCTTCATAGATGTTCAGTATAGATGAGGAGTATGTATTAATCCTTTATATTATTAAATATTGTAAAGACTTAGTTTCAATTTTATGGCGAATTGAATGTATTATATTATTCGGAGTTTTCTTTTGAGGTAAAGTTTTGTATTTCAATTTAGTGAGTTTTATTTTGTTTTAAACTTTTGCATGCTTAAGTTAGTCTTCCTCTTGTACTTAGCCACGATGATGATTGGTTGGGGACCAACAACAGTTCTTGAGTGTCGGCCATGTCCAAGGTGTAGACTCGGATCGTGATAGAGTTTACCAACGACTTCGAATTGTCCTCATCTCTAGCCATTCTCCAAACATATCAAATTCAAGGGTGAGAGATTTAGTCATGCTCGTTGATCTTAGGCATTTTTGGGGAGCAACACTCATGTTGAATTCGCTTATTCATGGCATGATGTCCTTAGCTTTAGGACACAAATTACCTTATTTCATTTATTTTGAGCTCTTTGACACTCAGACTTAGTATTTAGAGATTAGATGTCCTTGACGTGATGACTTTAAGGTTTTTGGAATGACATATAATATACTTTAATGAATTTGTGTTTCTTACACTAATAACATTTCATTTTTTTACATTATGGTTAGTATTTTGTAAGTTGAATGATAAATATATGTTGGGGTTGAATTCTTTGGTTCGCCCACCTAGGAGGTTAAGTGTGGGAGTCACTCATGAATAAATTTGATCTGTGACAATTGTGTGTGTGTGTGTGTGTGTGTGTGTGTGTGTATATATATATATATATATATATATATATATATATATATATATATATATTATCAATTTATCCTTTTATTTTGGCTTGTTATATTTTGTAAATTGTAACCTTAACTCTCTTTATATATATGAAACATATTTGGTGGATCGTATAAGGGGGAGAGATATATGTGCTAACTATTTTTTTTTATATTATTCTAGTTTATTTTCTTATGTGTGATTGTTATAGATAAGTTGCCTATTACTAAATCACATTGTGTATCCAATCATATTGGAATTTTTAGAATCTTGTCTCATATGTAATTTTGTAAAATTTAGAAATTGACTAATAATATAATTCGACGTCATGCTCATATAATTTAATTAACTTGCTACTGATCGTAGAAATTTATGCACATAGGATTCAAATAGATATTTAATCGATTTTTTTGCTTAGAAAACATGCTTGAGTATTGCTAACTTTTTAGTTTGTTAGTTGCGCTAAGATATCATGCATAAGCTTATATTAATGTATTTGATGTTATATGACTTAAATGTCATGTATAAAGCCTGATCAATTTTCAATATGTTAATCAGATTTTTAAAATTTTCATAAGGTAATTAAAAGAATTAGTAAATAATTAATTATTAGCATGTACACTTGGATATTATGTCTACAGGCTCCATAATTTTCAGATAAATGAATAACCTATAATTGCTTTTTTATATTTATGAATTCTGAAATTTTTATATTCTCTCTAGGTTTAGTAATCAGACTCTAATAAATTCAGTTTTTAATTAAATTAATCATACTCTAATAAATGAAAATTTTCAATTAATCTGATTATAATATATCTTGTATGACATTCACATAGAAATCCTACCTATAGGATCAATGAAATTTCAGACTGCTCACACTGACAAATCATGTCTATAGGCCTTAACTAATACAATCAAGGTTAATTAATCATATTATATAAATCCAACAAATCCTAATTATCTTGTCAGAGTTTAATAAGTTTTATCATGTTAATTGATTAGAAATCATGCCTATAGGACCATGAGAAATGTCTGCATGCTAATGAAGCTTAAATTTTTATGTAGATTTTGACAATTATTTCCAGCATATTAATAACTAAATAATTATTTTATGCATGATTGTTTTATCTATGTTGATGCTTAATTATATCCTAGCTCGTTTTATAAGATAAATTAGCTTAGTAATAATCATGCTACAAAATATGCATTGCTTGAAATGTTTGTTGCCCCCTAATTAAATTGGAATCACCCGAACGATCATATTAGGAAATTTTTAAAGTTTGTTTGACTACAATTTATTAATTGATAGTTACATATCAAATAACTAATTTTATTAAATGTTTAATGGGTCAAATTAACAATTTACTTAATAATTAATATCATATTTCACTTGAACCATATATGAAAATAAATTATTAGGGTTAGAATTTTTTTGTTCATAACTTAAGAAAGGAAAAAGAGTCAAGAGTTACCTCTATGTAGTGGCAGCTGGCAAGGAAACCATCCAATTCACGATCAGGTATATCAGTGTTTTCAAAACCGTTTTTGGGTGAGTTTCAATGCGAGTTTCGGGGCAGGGCGTACAAAATATTTTCTCCGGTTAAATTTTAAAACGTAGATCCAAAAGGTAAGTCCTAAAATTTGAGGCGTATGTCCCGAACATAAAACTTTACTTCTAGGCATACACACATACGCCTTGGTGTTTGCAATTTTTTTGCTTTGAATTATATTTATCATTAATGTAATGTTATTTCTCAAATAATAATGATAATCGTTTTTTCTTCATTATTGAATATTATTACTTATCTCACATAAAAATGATAATTCATTTAAAAGTTTACTTTTGCTTATTTTAATAGTAATAAAAATATAATATTGAATATACATGTGACTACACCGCGTAGATCCATTAGACTTACGCTCTGTGTCTCAAGGTTTACTCCTCGACCCATACTGTATAATACGCCTTGACTTACGCTCCAACTGTTGACACCCAATTTTGAGCCTCCACAATATGAATTGATAAACGAGTTTTTTAAAATTCTAAACGAGTTAAAATAGTTGACTTTATAAAGTTTCAAATGGTCTTTCAAGTCATGTTAAAATAGCTTAGTCGATTTTCATAATTTTTAAGCGATATATATTTTTATACGTTTAAATGTTTTTCAAGTCATGTTAAAGTAGCTTTAATCAATTTTTTTTGTTTTGAAATGATACATATTTTTTATATATATATTTTTTGGTATAAATAGTTTATTTTACGGAATATTCAAATATTGTCTCAAAAATATTTTAGTTTTACTTAACGCTTTATTAAATTAGTTTTAGTAACTTGTAGATTTGATACTTAGTTTATAGTAAGATTTTTAGTTTATCTTGTTATAGTTTAAGTTATATATATTTTTTATATTTTTTATAGATAATTGTATGTATAACTATTTTATTTCATAAATATTAGAAAATCGTCTCAAACGGATTTCGGGTTATTTTAATAACTTTATTAAAGCGATCTTGTCTATATTATTAGATTACATTTTTCGAATCTTAAGTTCATAATTAAATCAATTATTTTATCTCGTTAAAATTAAAAAGGGCTCGTTGATTAGTTAATTGGTCTTATTTAAACCTTAGTTTAATTCGTGAAATATTTCTTTGGTTAATTGATTGCCCCAGCCTATTCCAACTCTTTTCCCATCCCAAATAATACCAACTCCCAGCCAGACCATTATCAAATTTAAAACCAACTCCTCCAAAAACACAAAAATTGACCCGACCCAACCCAATCTTTTCCCAAAAAGAGAACCCAAAAGCGTCAATTTCCCAGTCACCCAAAAGCAGGGCTCCATCGTTTCCAGCAATCCTAGAAGAAACACGTGTAATAAACCCGATCTCACCCAAACTCTTCATCGTCCCTTTCACGCAATTCCTAGCAATAGCTGACCTCATAAGCCATAGCGCGTGAGACGCCTTCCTCAGTGTCTACCCTTCGTTTCATACACTGTTGACAATAGCAGCTGCAAGTCACGCGAAGTTGTCCTTGAAAGCTCGAGATTAAGCCACGTCATTTCCCAAGGACAATCAATTTGATCCGTTCGTCCGTTCTCCTTCCCTCTTTAGGAATGGATGCAAGCTTTAGCAAAAGATGGTCTGCCTCTAATCTTGAAAGAGTTCAAATTTTGATTTTGAGATGGGCTTTTAACCCAAATTGGATCCATTTTCCCTCATTTTCCAGCCTTAAATTCCCACTATAAAAGCTCTCTTTTCTTCATCTCTGGGGGCTGGCCGGAAAAAGATTGGAAAAAACGGTTGGATTGTTTTAGTTGGACATTGGAAGGGATTTTCGAGTTGAGAAGTTTTGGAGAAAGATAGGACAAAAGTTGACGATTTTCAGTTGGGTTATTATTTGGTCTAACAAATCGAGAATATCTTTAGAAACGGGTAGTGATACACTCGAGATACACTTCAGAATATAGAACTTCTTGAATTTCTTCCTAGTCTCCTTAATCATTAGTGTTCAATGTGTTCGTGGTGAAAGTCATTACCTCTCTGCTAGTGCTGTCCTATTTGCTGCCTTGAAGAAGGTAAATTTTCTTCCAAAATTTTTACTTGTCTGATGTGTGTTTTATTTAGTTAATTGAAGTGATCTATTGATTCTTAGTTTTCTTTTCTCACTTTTTCATGTCCTTTGTGACATAAAATTTTTTTTGGTTTTTTGATGGAGGCATTCTTGTTGATTAATATCGAAGTATTTTACTCGCGTGAGTTACTTTTAAAAAAAAATAAAATGAAAGAGCAACTAGTGAGATTGTGAGTAGAGTATTATTAGTTGGCTGGTTCAATGTTGAATGCTTGTTGTAGGATTACTTATTTTAGTCTACGTTCATCACCATGGACATATGATAATTTTTTTTTCTTTCAAATCTCAAGTCAAATGAACGAATCAAGCATTCTTTTTTACTGGTAGTGTGAGTCTTTGAGTTAAGCATTCTTAGGCCTTTGCTTGCATATAATCTCATGGTCTAATGTCCATCCTCCCCTCGTGGGTTTATTTGTTTTGTCCTATTTGTGGTCGATAATACAGAGGTAGTTTTGGATTGCAATTCATAATTGGTTTGGCGTAGTTTTACCCTCGTTTTAGACAATGTTCCAGCCTTAATCTTTATCATTGTTTAGATTGACGTTATCTGTCCTAAGCATGACTGACTGTTTTTTTTTTTGCTACCTATTTGTGTTGATTTACTGATGAATCATACCAGCTTCTAGGAATGTTTGATTTGTTCCTACTAAATGTTTTTTAAGAATGTTAAGTTAATTAATGATGTTTGCCATGGTAAAATTGAATGTAAAAATAGTATCCATTCTAAATTTTGGGTTGCTACTATATTCTAATAGCATATTTGTTCTTTATCATAATAAATTATGATATTAGGTTCCATTGGTGAAGTAAAATTTGGACTTTGTCACGAGGCTTTGTCTAATAGTTATGCCGCATATTATCTCTTAATGCTATGAATTTATTATTGGCCGATGGTTATGTATTCTTGGAAATTCAGTATGTTTTTTTTTTCTTAAATGGATGCACATGCTTATCTATATATATTTGTATAACTTTGTTGTCGATAGTTTACTTGTTTGGTTTTTTAGAGTTGTCTTTCTCAACTTAATTTGAATTTATCAGTGGATGTCATTTTAATTAAACCTTGTTTTTATAGCATTCGTTCTATTATTTTGAATGCTAATCCTTGCCGTTATTTTGTTGCATGTGATATCATCCAAGTCCGCAGGGATTCTTATCTTTTACTTTCCCTTGCATTTTGGATGGGCCATAAAGGCCTTAAATATTTTGTTTCTCAAGTCATCCAGCTATACGAAACTGACGTACAGGTGTTGGAGTAAAAAAAAAAACACCAGATCTGAAGTTGAAGAGATTGGGCTTAAACCCCACATTTATTTTATTTTGTAGTATTGGGCATAAGCCCTTATGTTCATTTAATTATTTAGTAATTATATGTTAGAATCTTAGGGCATGTGGAAATGGCCCAAAAAAAGCAAATCAAAATGGGTTCAAATACCGGTCCAGGCAGACACAAACTCCATTTGGACCTAACTCTCTCTCTCTCTGTACTTTTACTTTTCGTCTATTCGCTTGTCGATATTTGCTATTAATTTTACGTTAGGAAATTTAAAATCCTCGCAATATGCCACTTCGTTTTAATAACTTATCTAAATCAGCGAAGTATAAATAAAATAAAAAATAAAATTTTCAAATCTCAATTAGATAGAATCGATACTTCATTTTTGAAAATAACTCCAAATAATTTTAGCTCAAAATTAAGTTAGACATTTTAGCCAAAAAGTTAGTTTTCGAAAAAATCGTATTAACGGGTATTTTAGGTGCCATAAAACCCTTTTTAAAATATTAATAAAAATCCTCGAACACCGCCAATATTTTCAACTGATTCTCTGTTTTAAGTTATTCAAAAACTAAGTTTTCTTTATTTTTTTAAAAAATTCTGTGGCGACTCTAATACAAAATTAAAAACAAATAGAAGACTTCTTTTAAATAAAACAGAATGGCAACTCCGCTGGGGATCTGGAGGATTCTAACCTCAAAAATAACATGTTTGGTTATGTGTAATTAATTGTTTACTTGTTTTAATTATCACATTTTTAATTGTTGCATTTCATGGCTACTCCGTCAAACGTAAATTGTTTATTTATCATTTGAAGGATGATTATGCAGGATCACAGTAGTTTCTTAACCAAATCTCTCTCGGGGAACCCTGACGAATATAGTTGGCTACTTGATAGTCAACGGTCATTCACTGTCCCAGCCCAAGTAGTCCGATTGACTCACCCTATCCACTATAAATGGAACCTACTCCTAATCAAACTAGGACTGAGAGAAACCAAATCTCGAAAGTAGCGCATTGACCTAAGATGACTCGACAGCGAAGGAGTGTTGGACCCATTAGAAAGATCGTCTTAAGTTCAAATTGCCCATGGCTCGATCGGACGATCATACTTATATGCTATTTGAAGATTGTTTGTCTGTTTGACGGATTGTTGTGCCTTGGGGGTTGACAACTAACTCTTTGTATGTTTTTGTAGATGACAAATTAATTCCTAAGTTTCAAAATGGTCACAGAGACACTTGATATTCTTCGTGTGTGGTGGAACAACCTCAAAGACTGTCAAAAGACAGAAATCTCGATTCACTTGGGTCACCTACCTTCGATAATGGACTTTAAGGTTTGGCCTGAGTTTATCAAGGTAATTACTCGGTTATAGGATGACAAAAGGATGGTTTTTCGATTTAAAGATGTCGAAATAATACCAACAATAGATGAGGTAATAGATTGTTTCGACTCCATCGGAACATGTGGCAAGAGGGAAAAATCCAGATCATCACATCCTGCTACCAGATAAGCCGACTAGTCTAACATTGAAAACGGAAAAGGGTCTAAAATACCCTCAAAGTATTGAAAATGGTACAAAATTACCCTCCATCCACCTATTGGCTCTAAAATACCCTTCCCACCAACCTATTGGGTCCAAAATACCCTTGTCATCCACCTTTTGGTTCAAAATTGACCACCTATTTAACGGTTATATATTTAAACTATTTAAATATTTTTTAAAATACGTGGCGCTCAACTATTTGTTATAATTTAACTTATTAGTATAATTTATAAATCAATCTACTACCCATCCATTACTAATTAAACCCTCCAAATTAATAAATTACTCACATTATTAATGCAACAATAGAAAAGCTACTGCCAATTGATTGTTTTAAAAATATTGAGACGAAAATATCTATAGAAGTAAATTATCATACATTCAAGTGTCTAAATAAAAATTACAGATAAACTTAAAAGTATGACTATGTTCATCTTAATTATTCTTACGTCTCAATTATGTGATGTTACTTCATAGGTAACTTTTTTTCAAAATAATTAAAAGTTTTAAATAAATCATAAATATTTATAAAATTATATTTTAAAAAAGTGCATGAATTAATTCGGGATGTATTACTTCTTTACCTTTAATCATAAATTTCTAATTCAATCTTGAAAGAGAATCAAATTGAAAGTGTCATCCTAAATAAGCGGCTCAACATAAATTTAATTAGGGCTTCGATTCGGACTCGAATAATTTTGGATGTCATTTTCATTAATCTATAATTTCATAGTGTTTTAGCAGTGTTTATGACAATTTTGATATTATAGTTGGCTTATTTATCGGGTGGGGTTTAGTTAGTAATGGGTGGGTAGTGGATTGGTTTATAAATAATACAAATAAATTAAAGTATAACCAATAGTTGAACATCAAGTATTTTAAAAATATTTAAATAGTTTAAATTTAAAATCATTAAATAAGTGGTCAATTTTGAACTCAAAGGTGGATGACAAGGGTATTTTGGAGCCAATAGGTGGATGAAAAGGGCATTTTGGAGCCAATAGGTGGATGAAGGCTAATTTTGTACCATTTCAATACTTCAAGGGTATTTTAGACCCTTTTCCGCATTGAAAAGCATCTTACTGCTAGTGGACGAGGACTGGTTGGATACTCAAAGTGTACCGATAATGAGATTCTTTGAATAGTTGGATTTCAGAAATTTTTCGAAAAAAATCCATAATCATATTACTTGGAGACAAATTCAGACTATTGTATTCTCCGCGTGCCTCTTAGGAACGATGGTATTCCCTAAGTGTGAAGGAAATAAGATCGATACTCAAATTGTGATGGTTGTAGACGCTATCTTAAGAGGGTTTGGTAATGAAGAAGAAGCAAAGAAACGCTACAATCAAACCCTAGTTATTTTGGTCGACATCTATTAATCGCTGAGTTTCTGTAAGAACAGATTCCCATTTTTCCAAGGTTGCAACTTTTTTCTTCAATGGTGGATGACTGAATATCTGTGTAAAAATGATGTCACCCAACAACAAGAGTTGTCCAAGCCAACCCAGACGAGCACCCTTGACATTTTTGGATTCTACCTAAGCATCCGCAAGTTCCTAATTCACACAACGAGGGATGCATGGGCGAATGTATTCTATGACCTGAGAGAAGGAGACATACAATGATGTTCCAAAACATTATGCCAGAGAAGATAGTGGCTCAGGGGGCCAAATGTCCTTTTTTGGTCGTTCCGTGTATCAGAGGAATGCGACCATACAATCCAAGCGGGGTGATGTAGAAATTTGATAGAAGACAAATCACACATGTCCAAGGGATTCTAGCTCCTTTGTCATTAATTACAACGAGTGTGTTAAGATACCTTTCGCCAAAACCATCCTTCAAGAATGGGCCCGGCGGGTCAACATGAAAGAGGGATACGTTGACGAGTACAAATTTTTTTTGAAGGATGATTTTCTTGGTATAGTGAACTCGACACCATGCGTATTATTTAAAGATGTCCAAATGTGGCTCCAGATCCAAAAATATCATTTTTAGCAGAAATGGGACCGAAGGGCACAAGAATTTCGACAAATAGAGCAAGAATACCAATCAAAAGTATTTGAAAGCAAAAGGCCTTTAGCTTTAGTATCACAAAAGCTAACCGATGTGAGCGTCTGTTTGATGCGTCTAGATACAACCCCGGATGAGCAAAAAGGGCCACATGGATGATTAGGACACGATATATGTGTTTTTTAACTGTTTATGTGATATATTTCTTTGAATGAGGGTATCGCTAACGCACTCCTTTCTGGAAATTTCCTAAAAGATATACACAAGTCACAACTACAAAGTTCGACAAAATTTTTCGAGTCTTGAGTTTCCCAACCAAAAATAAATCTTATCCCAAATCCTAAACATCACTCTATCATCTCAAGAAAGGTAAAATCACCACCCTGGATAAAGGCAAGAATATCAAGACTGAACCAATCAAAGAGGAGATGATCGACATACAGAGGCAGCGCGGAAAGCGCCTATATAACATAACCCTCCTGAGAGCACTGAGTTGGAGAACATTGAAGAAAGTTATGAGGAAGTAATTTCCCACATACATTCTCTCCAAGGACTTTCAACAAAAGGAGACCAGAAAGTCACTCTCGAAGCATATCCGCAAGAATGCCAAATAGGGACAGAAGCCATTCCGTGTGCCCTAATTTTCAAGAACTATCAATCTAGGTGTATCCTTGCTTAAATTGTATTCATTCAATATGTATACCATTTATATTTCTATTCATTCTAGTTTTCATGTCATATTTTGTATAATGAAACTTATATTTTTTTATTAGTTTGTATTCATTCTAAATAGGTATGCCAAATAAATATATATCTATTTAAAAAATATATTTGTATTTGTTATTTTTTAAACTGTCTATTTATTTTTCTCTTCAAAATCTTTTTCCTTTCCTAATTCTTATTAATTCCAATATATATATTATTTGTATTTGTATTCGTTCTAGTTTTTATTTTTTATTTAGTATAATGATGTAAAAAATATAAAAATAATATGATGGAAAAGTGAGAATGAAGTATAAAATTGAAAAAGAGTATAAGAATATTTATTGCAATCATTCTTAAATAAAATACAAATATTAATAGCATTAAGAATTGAGTCCAGATACAAAAATTTGAAGAAAAACTATAAAACCAAATAAACTAATAGAAAGTTGTTCTTCTTATAAATAAAATACTTAACTAGTTGACATTCTTTTGGGATGAACACAAATTAGGGACAAATACAAGATTCATAAATTATACAACATAAGATTTTTAATAAACACAAATCAGTGCTTTGAATACAAATTGAGAAGGAATACAAAATACTAAAAAAATTATAAATACAAAACAAACTAATGTTTTTCCTCAACTTGGTCTTCAACAAGTTTTTCGAAATCTTCTACACCCAATTTTTTCTTTTATAATAGTGTATTTACCCTTTTAATATTACTATCTTGAACATGAATGCGGGTAGAATCATGATGAAACTTTGATCTTCTATCTTGAACCATTTTAGTTTCACAAACTACATTTTCGAATAATCATGGAGTAATGCATAAATCAAACAGGCAAAATTCTCAAAAGTTTATGATTATATGTGATACTTCTTATAGTCCTATTTGAATCAGAAATTGGATTGCAATTTTCATGTTTTTCCTTTATTTAAAGTGTTAACCGAAAATAGGAAGGTTGAAAAACACACAAAAATC